AGCGAGCTGCTTCAAGATGCTGAGTGCACCTGTGACTTACAGATTCAACTCCATGCATGCTAAATAATCAACACTGCATTCATTGTATGAGTTATGTAGAAAAGGCAAAGCAGACATGTGTAATGTATTTTGGTTATTTATTTATATTGTTAGGGAGAAATTGTATGCACATTTGTATAGCAAATGTGTTAGAAAATACAAACAATGCCGATGAAATCGACTATAACTTTAAATTAAATCTGAATATCTCTCTTGCAATAACAGTGGTGCTCCTTTTTTAATCTATTTTACTTGGACCATCTACTGCAGCCTTGCTCCAGTGTGCATATTAAGGATCCATTTGTATGGTTCAGCTGTAGACAAAGTCTTCAGATAACTCAAAAATGTAATATAAAGCTAACTTTAGCTTCAACATCTGCTAAAAACTGGATTATTTTTTTAATTCAGCAAATAAACTTGATATCAATTGTTAGAAAAGAGAGCTTTTGTTTACTTCTGTGTGAACTCAGAGACCCATTGGTTTTCAAAGTCACTTATAATAAGCTCTTGAAACGTACAGATAATAAATACTGTTTCCTACAGCTGTTCAGAATACATGGCAAAGAATTTGAGTGCTTTTTCTGTCGATATTTTATTCCAAATCATTGATGAACATAAATTATAAAACAGGGGCATAGCTGCAACTCAGGGGAACACAGTTAATTCAAATCAGTCTGATTTTTAGCAAAAATAATTGTTCCTGATCAGCTGATAAGGCTCATGTGTAAAACGTTGCACAGAACAGTTAACCACTGTTGAAAGATGTATGAATCCTTCTAATGGGATGTCTAAATGATAACATGTTTAATTCCCTGGACTGTTTAAAATATGCAGTACAACTGGCAAAGTGTGCGGAATATATAGATAGAGTATGTGAATAGATTCATGTGATCGACACAAAAAGAGTGGGTGTTAATATGTGGAGAATATTCTGCTGAACTAAACGTGTAAGAATCATAAACGTTTGTTTGACACAGAGATTACTTCAATACTAACCTGTTATAAATAAAGCCTTGAGGTTTAGTTATAACACAGAAACAAAGCAAACACATCATTTTCCAACCAGGAGAAACACTTTTGAAATCAGCTCACTCTCAGAGTTTCATGGATTATTAAAGAAGTTTTATTATTTTTTTGGTACATAGCAAATGACAGCATTTATTACCGTGATGTTGAACATCGTCATGATTTCTGGAGGATTCTGCTGTGTTCAGAATTTAAGACGATTTGCTTCATCGTAATCTACGAAATTACGAAATAATGGTCAATATTTTTCTCAACAAAATCAAAATCAATCAAAATTCTTATGAAGCAAAAACATTTCTCGGTTCCAAAATCACAACACTTGTTTACGGACAATTTTAACATTTTAAGTACGAAATAATTAGTCTCCTGAATTTGGGAAAATCCTAAATCACAAAAATAATCTGAGTTCATTGAAAAAAGTGAAATTCTAAAGAAATTAAAATGTTTCATGAAAGTCCAAAAAGTAATGATTACATATTATTGATCATCTTGTGAAATAAGTACAATCCTCAATAATACAAAAACAAGCACATCTTGATCACATAACAAAGCACATTACCTTTTAAAAAGAAAACTTCTACAAAATTATGTACATTTTTAATTACAACATGTTAGTATTTAATATTTTATGAATTTGGGAATGCTCTCCAATAGGTGGAGTTCTTAAAAACAGCTAAATTACTACAAAATACAGACAAATACCATCAAAAATATAATTAAAATTCATATAAAGTAAGAAAAATACTGAATGATTGAAAATGATTACAAAACTGAGCTCAGTACACGTGAAATAAGAAAATTAAAGAAAAGTTAAAATCTTATACATTTTGGCAAATTACAAATATAATCGGATTTCTCTAAAAAAAGTTCGGATTTCTCTTTTTTTACAAACAATCTCTTCAGACCAAAATCAAGCTGAATTCTTCTGAAATAACATTTTTCAATATAAAATCAGCATTGTTATGAAATAAGAAGTGTTTGGATTATTTACTTCTGTTCAATTCTAAAACATCTTGGTATTTCTTTCTAAGAGAGTTTGCTGCGGAAAGGTTTGATATAAAATGCTGCTGTAGCCTCAACCTTGTTATTATAGACTGGTTTTGTAATGAATTATTGCTGCTGTATACATGAAATCTTAAACCTTAGCTCTTTCTTGACCTTGGAAATAATAGTTTGACTAAGCAATCATAATTCAAGATTTACTTTGTATCTTTTTCTGGAACTTTTAACCTTATCGCACAGTCTTCATCAGCACATGTTGTTTGGTTGGATGCATCTGTTTATATCAGGGGTGTCCAAACTACGGCCCAGAGGCCAATTGCGGCCCATTGTCCATTTTAAATTGGCCCCGCAGCTTATTCTAAAAGTATTATGGAATTTGGCCACCACCTGAAACGTGTGCTTGATTTATATTGTACTTCTTAAATATATATGAAATATATTACACAGTTGTATTCATGTGTCAATTAAAGTTGAAAACATTTTCTAACCAATCTTAGTCGATTTAAAAAAAAGCCCAATAATGTATTTTAATAAGCTTGAAATATACCCTTCATATTTCCCCTAAATATAAGCAATCTGAGGCTTCTGTTTTAAGGAATGAACTGCACTTTTTATAAATGACTTTATGGAAAGCTGTGATGTAGGCCGTTTGTTTCTTTAAAGGTGGGGTAGGTAAGTTTGAGAAACCGGCTCGAGATACACTTTTTGTTATATTCCATGGAAAGCTCTTAACATCCCGATAGCAATGAATATCTTAAGTGCTTTGACAAAAAATCCATAAAAAAATGTCATCTGTGGAAGCCGTAGTACTGTAAAAAGCACGACCAATCATTTTAGCCAGCCCGGCTAAAATAACTGGATGGCCTACCTGCCTGTCAGCCTTCCATCTGTGCACAAACTTATCTCGTGCCCTCATTGGTCATGTGCGCGTTCGTGTGTGTTGGAGGAGGGGCTCTGTAAGGAAGTGGCAGATTTTTTCCTGCTGTGTATTTTCAAATTCTAGCGATCTCGAGCCGGTTTCTCAAACTTACCTACCCCACCTTTAAGCATATTCATTTATCAAGCAAAGTTACCTATATTTGATTGATTTTGCATACTTATAACTTAACTTATGATGCAATATACCTCACCTCTAGTGAGAGGCTCTTGTGAAAACGGTTTATTAGTTTATTAGTTTATAGTTTATTTATAGTCTTATAAATAAACACAACAATACCAGTTGAAGCTGTAAATGTATATTTCACCTCTACTGAGGTTGAATGGCCCAGAAATGGACCAGAGGAACAGGCATCTACTGTATTGATACAAACAAGCCGGTTAATGTGTCAGAATCTTGGATACAATGGCAGCTCTATTTTCTCACCTGTGTTTTAACCAATAAAGAAAGGCCTGAGATAAAAGGTAGTCCTTAATGTCAATTACTCCTCAATAGTTCACGTTTTATCATGCACTCGGTAATAAATAAACTCTTTAAAGCATAATTTCAAATGTTTATTTCAAAGATTGTTGCCAGACCGGAGAACCTCTGCACAGATAATAATAAATATTAAAATCACATGGTTTCTCCTCTAAAGTAGAGGTAACATATATCTGTTTGTTTACTTATGCAACTTTGCCTGAATATTACTGAGATTGAGAATAAAGGCATTGGGCTCAGCATTTAATCACATTTTCTTTTTGAAATACTTCGGTATGAATTGTATGAGAAATACTTTAGCAGTCTAAGCTTTTCAGAGCCTTGAAGAATTAAACTGCTGAAATTGGTTCACGTCCAAAACAATTTAAAGAAACCATTGAAACACTGTTGAAAGCAATAGAATTTCACAGAGAAGGTCTTGAAACATCAATAGTGTTGTTTTTTGCCAAAATACATTCAAACACACACACAAGCATAAACACACAATGAATACATCGCTTGTCGAGTCTCTCTGTTTTATGGATGCAGGATTTCTAATCTGTGGATTTTGTATGTGTTTTAAAGCAGAAGATCGCATGTTTTTTTCTTTGTGTTAAGGCTTCTCATTTAACTCTGTGAATGATATTACTTCCTATAATGTTGAACTCTGTAAGTGTATACATCTTCAATTGGATCTCACAACACTCTCTTTGAATGAATGTCCAGGCTCTGTACTGTATGTCATACTTCTCTCCTGTAACAGAAGCTCAGTGCTTACACATGTAATGCATACTTAGAAAGATTACCTGATAGCATTACTAAATGAATACCTTATATTGAGATCAGTTAAGCTATCGTGATCTCCGTCTTCATCATTGTTACTAACTATATCAAAACTAAAAAAGTGACAGTGGGTTCTTCTGTTCACACTGAAGCCTCATGTTGTTATTTTTTCCGCCTGTTTGTCTGCTCAAACTTCTTGCTGAGTCCAGATGGAATCAGTCGGGGGTGACCACTTATGCCAAATATCAAATTCCAAAGCCCAAGCCTGTCTTGTATGAATCAGAGATGAGCGCAATATGGATAGAAGTGGACAGCATGCAAAATTGGAAGAAAAAGAAACCCCAGGCAGTCCAACAGCAGTTCACTCTGGGTGGAATAAATGACCAGAAGGGGGGGTTCAAATGCACAAACTTTAGCCTCCACAAAAATGTTTAAAATCGTGATTTGTCACGCATATCTTTACAGAGATAGAGCTAATGGAGGCTGCTGTATTACTGTTTGTTTTATCGTTTATTTCTGTATCACTGAGATAGTTTATTTTGTTTTACCATAAGCAAATGTTAATACGTTACAAATTAAGTTCACTAACGGTAGTGGAAACAATTTCATATTCTGAGAACTGCATACGGTTGTGCGTACTTTTGTGTTATATAGGACAAATGGAGTTGAATCACTTCTCACCCTGACTTCTCAGCCTGTAAAATACAAAACGATCAACCCTAATATATAATATTTCTGTTTTGGCCTATGGCAGGTGATTGACATCAAAGAGAGGTTAAAGGAGTCCAAGAAGTTTTGGTCCAACCTGCCTGATGACATCTGTGCCAAGGGCAAGCTGACAGAGTCTGACGAGGATCAGTGCTGGAACAGCCACACGAAGGGCAGGTGAGGACTTCTGCTTCTCAGTATAACCACGGCAAATTCCCCCCACTCTACGGTTATCACATTCTGCCTGCCAGGGATTAAAATAACCACACTGTATTCCCAGATTAACACTCTCTCTGTGAGCACAATGGTTAGTGCATATGGAGAACCTCTATATAAGCTCCGAGGCTCTAATACCCAGAGGACTGTGGAGTTTCCAACACCTCTTATCACCACCGCAGCGTGTAGAGAGTCTCCGAGCCATACAGTAGATTGGAGAGCGAGTTGTTTTCTCTGACAGTGAACCAGAGAAGTTGGCAGAGGAAATATATCACCCCATCACTCTGGACTACTCCAAGTAACAAAATCACCAGATGGTGTTATAAAAGGCATGTTATTTCTCTTGTTTGTGCCAGTAACATTTTAAGCATTGCTCTAAATCTGGAAGGTAAATTGATTTCCAGAGATGATCAAATGTCAGACCCTGAAGGAAGTGTGTTATGATATCATCGGATTTTCTTGTTCCTTAAAAACAAACTATGCACACTTGACTTTGTATAGACAGTATCAAATTAAATACAAAACTAGTGAAAAGCCAAGGTTGGTAATGTATTTTTGAAATCTTATTTGCTATATTTATTGAAATACTCTTTCCTACCCGACTGCAATCAATAGATGAAATGAACTGAGCAAAAAATATCTGATATCTGTTACTGTGGCAGGACTCTAATACGCTGCTATAGCTTGAGAGCTTTGAGTACTAACAATTGCCATGTACGTTGTTTACATTCATTATGATGATTGTGGGGAAGTGGCTTTGTAGGAAGTACTAAAGGTGTGGGCAGTCAATGGTGACACCTCGGTGACTTGCATTGTTTTCATTGCACAGCAGTTTAAGTATTTGTTATTTATTTATTAACACACACACTATTTATTTGTGGGCATCAGGCACGTAAAGGGCTCTCTAAAGCAAAGTGAAACCACTCCCAATATGAAGGAGACCATAGAGACCTTTTACACACTTATGTGTTGCGTGATTTTAGCATCCTTCAATAAAAAGAGTAGCTCTTGTGATTTTGGTTTAGTTTGTCTACTTTATGGGTTCTTCGGCTTTTACACCGAGATCATATATCAATATTCACATATAATTCACCATTTGTAGAGATTATTTATTTGTGGTGTTGTGGAGTAAGCAAGAATTCAAAGAACTAGTCACACACACACAGTAAGTGAAAGAGAGGGACACAATATCCGCACTATTGGTTGACTCTGGCAAACAACGACAACTGATTGCATTGGTGGAAGATAGAGCACAACACAGCAATTTAAGAAAACACATATAAGTAAACAAAACACATGTACATAAAGACAACATCCTCACCACAATTTTCATATTCTCTAAAGTTGCAGTGTGTATCTGTCAGCCACCATACAGTAATAGGCCTTCAGTGTCACTGATGCTGCTTGTTAGCCTGATAGATAGCAAATTAAGCAAATGTGGAAATGTTGTTATCTGCATATTTGTATTCTACTATCATCCATAGTTTTTTAGTTCTGATGCATTATTGACTAAACTTGAGGTTTTTAAAGCACGATAGAGACCTCCTCAGGGAGGCTCTAAACAGTTGCAGGGGAGGCTTAACTCAGTATGAATATTGGATTACCTATCATGAGATCAATAGAATTGCCTAAATGCATGTGATTTTGTTGGAGATATTTCAGAGATTTAACGGTTCCCTACTTTCACAGAGTCAGAAATCATTGAATGCCTTAGAGATATACAAACTCAATTATTGAGTGTCTATGGAAACAAATAACATAATCATGATCCAATATTTATCCAGGAATTGAGTGAAAGAAAGCAGGTAAACAAGCAGGAAGGGGGGGGATGCCTTTTTTCAAGCTTTGGCTGAGGGGAGGCCCAAACTCAGAATAACATCTAGAAAATATTGCCATTTTGATAGTGCCTTCAGTGCCAATACCACAAGGAGATTGGTGATTCAGTTTGTTCCTGTGTCATTGTGTCCAGATATTTTCCTGAAGTCGTGGGGGAGGGTCTTACCAACCAGGTGAGCAACCCAGAGGTGGATGTGGACATCACCAGGCCGGACACACTGATACGACAGCAGATCATGGCGCTACGTGTCATGACCAACAAGCTAAAGAACGCCTACAACGGCAATGACATCTACTTCCAAGACTCAAGTAAGTTCTCCAATATCTTGGGTGTTTGCAAATGCAGGTGTAGACAAGATAATAATAATATTTTGAAGTAAAACACAGAGAAAAGTTTCTTTCACTGCATGTTGGTTGATTTGGATCACACTACACATACACACAGACACACACACACACACTCAGACAAATACCCCTGCAGAAATATAAACGGTACCGAAATAAGATCTCAGATGTCATTCATGTTGCAACTCATCATAAAACTCCACTGGATGCACCAGCGTTGCACTGAGGCAAGACTGACATTATTAGGAGAATAAATAGCCGTAGGTACGGAGGTGACACATGCAATGACAGACAGTCAAGGCTATTTAGGAAGATGTACATCTGCAATGCTGCCATGACAGAAACCATTCCCTCTTCCTGATTATGGGGATCCCATACAGCTGACAAGATTGAAGATTTTCATAGCTTCAAATAAAATGTGGCTCTGTGAGTCTACTGCCACTAACCTTTGTTTGTCAACTCCATTCGTGTCACTGTCATGTTTGTTTTTCTGTTAGCAATTGTGTTTTCCTTGTCACCAGGAACCTAGTACCGCAGGCACTGATATGTTGAATAGGTTCTCACAGAAGCAGATTCAATCCTTGTATTAAGATCTACTTGTGCTCTGCTATTTATAGCAGCTAATCATACACTTCTTGCTCTGCAACCTGTGAAGGCCCGGTCACACCAGCACCAGCACAGAACATTTGCAGTGACGTCAATTCATTTTGATAAAAGTTCCCTTGAAAGCTTACTCAATCACCATTATCTCTGAGAAGTTGGGTGCTGAACATATGCAGCCTCAGTATTTTAACACATCCATTGTCAAACACGAGGTGCTTGAAAAAGTACATAAGAACATTTCAAATCCCAACCCATTTCAGCCCTTATTTATCAGCAGTCTAATATTAGTGTGATTTTTCCTTGCAGTTTTATTTTACCTGCAAGTCATTTCTATTAGCTATTGTAAAAAAGTTGATAGACGATCTACAAACCAACTATAACCATGAACTAAGTGTTATAAAAATGTGGTTCATCTATCTATGTAATGTTTATAGATGTTATACGAATCATTTGGTTATCATTAGCAAATATTTGATATAGTATTTAAATTATTTGTACGACTTTTACATACATCATAGTCACTAATAATCAGTATGCCTTATTAGTTATCGTTTTAACAGATTACTTAACTATAAACAATTTATTAATGATGGTTATTGTTGTGTTTCCTAAAAAGGTAACAAAACTATATAGTCAATTTAAATAAGCCAAATGAGTATTAATTTAAGTCTTGTGAGTTTCTCGGGCCGATTTCTTTTGTTACCTGAGCTTTTTTGCTTTCCCTTTGCCATGGATCAGATAATAGTTGTTGTGACAAAATATTTAAATTAAATTCTAACTTTTGTGATTTTGTTGCTGCAGGTGATGAAGGCAGTACTTCTGGCAGTGGCAGCGGCTGCTCTGATGGCTGCACAACAGAGTTTGTTTTTGTTGGAACAGAGGCTCCTGTGATTGGAGCCGACAGAAGCGATGAACGCGCAGCAGCAGCGGCGGCAGGAAAGTCCTTTTCCAGCGCACCCTCCCTAGTGCTGGTGGTGGCCGCCCTCACACTCCCACTGGGGGCAATGCAGACTCAATGGAGATAATACACGAGTGTGGCCTGATCACTGACTTTTCTACTGTTACATACAGTATGTTTAACAGCAAGTTCTACTGCTGTTCCCTCACTGGACATGTAGAACCTTCTGGAAACCTGTGGAGAGTGGCTTATTGTGGTGTGGTAGAACAGGAAGTGAGTGCAGCGCAGCATCCTGCTTGTCCCCCAAAGAATGCTTGGTGCCGTCACTGAACCAGCTTTCACATCTGTTAAAAAAAGAAAACGTGGGGTTTTCTCATTATTCTAAAGTGCGTTTTAAATAACATACTTCTAAAACACAACAGCTCTGATATTTCAGATCAAGGGACATTTATTTTTATTTTTTCCTTTTGTATGATGAAGTTGTGACAACAAGACAACACCCAATTTGTCCTATTAGTCTTTTCCCCCTCAAACAAATGGAGAAAGTCTAACTGTGTGCATGCATGGAAATGATGTTAACTGACAAAAACATGTTTTGTTTTATTTATGCAGGCTACACAGTTTGGGCTTGGTTGGTACAGGATTGTACAGAGCTAGCAGTTCACCTGGTTTCCTGTTTGGTTATATCAGTGTGACTTCAGGGAGCAGCAGTTCTTACAGCCACTTTATAGTTGCACATTTGATTAATTCTTGAAAGTGCTAATGTATTGCACAGAGAGAACTACTTAGCACAGATTATTTTTCTCGGCTTCATACGTTTATAAGCTACAGGAAACATCCATCCCATAGAGACAGAAGACCTATATTTTCAGATCATTTAACTGATTGTATTGTACTTATACACAGTTGCAGTGTGTATTTCATTGGAAGGTACTGTAATGTAATCTTGCTGGTTTAGTTAAAAGCTCAATTATATTTGTTTTAACGAGTTATTGGATCACCTGAACAATTTAAAAATAAACAGGAAAGTTATTGTGAGCCATTATACAACAATTGCCTGCTAACGCTATACAGTTACCTGATTTACTCTCTTCTGTTTGGGTACTTGACATACACCTACAAAGTTCAGATATTATTTTAATTCTCAGAGAACTCAAACGTGTGTTCGTGATATTAGGTATATTCTAAGGATATTTTCACTTATTTCTTGTCTCCATTGCTTTATTATTTATTATAAGGATTAATGTTAATTCTTTATATAACATATATGTTACAAATTGTAACCACACTCCTGTAAGCTCAGCCCTCTGACAGGCCCTGGCGGTTCACACACTCTCATATTATAGTGCACCACGCTGAAATGTGCATGTTCTTGTTCGACCACTGAAACGGATCCACCAATATAGAAGCAGGTTATAGAAGTGGTCAGGGTTTTTTTTTAAAGCATTTACAAAGTCAGCAACTCTAAACGAAATAGGGCGCCAAGGTTAGAGCGCTCTGTATCTTAGAACTAGGGTTACTATTCATAACCTCTATTCATCTCCTATGGCTTGACCTCTAACTGGCTCTGTAGATGCACTCCAATAACACAACACTATGGCCTTGACCTCAGGTCACACGGAAAATGTGGTTCCAGACATGTAGAAGTTATACAAACAAACAAAAAAAGGGATATTTGTTCAATCATAAATGTTTAGAACAGCCATCGTAGTGCTGGAGTGTGCCTTGGAGGATTGAAACCCATCAGCCCATAAGCACCTAAAATCCTTTCACATAGCTAATAAGTAAGTTTCTTGTCTCAACATGGGGCTTCCACAAACCCACAGCTGCAATGAACAGCTGCTCTGAGCATCTCAATGAGACTGAACATTTCACAAAGCATACTAAAGCACGCATGGGACACGAGTGAAAACAGCATCAAGATCTGAAAAAGATATCTGATGTTCTTAGACACAAATTACATGAAATGCAGTACTTCTCCTTCAAATGAGAAACAACAAGACGGGACTGATGTCCACATTTCTAAAGTTTGCAGCAGCAGCATGGTTGTCTTCACACACACACACTTCACGGCACCTGAGAGAAAATCCCCCCTCAGTGGTTTCACATGACTCACAAAAGACACCCCGACACCACAGGAAGCTCCCACTGCAGAATAGATGGAAAATATGTTGACCTCCCTTGCCTTACTCCCTGCTGAAACAGCCTCAGGAGAAGGTGACTGAACAGCAGCCTCCTACCAAAACCAGCATGATTATTAAATTACTGGTGCGTAAACCTTAATGTGCACGGCGACAGGCCTCTCTCCAAGCAACGCCCGAGGAAAGACAACACTAAAGGAAAAGATAGAAAATGCATTTTAATTTGTTTTTATGCTCAAACTGTATTTAATTTGTCTATATAAAATTCATATTGGACAGGCAACAAATGTAAACCAACGTGAAATATTACTTAAATAGTATTTACTTCAGGCTGAGTTGAAAGGTCAGTGTAAAGATAAAAAAATGATATTGAAACAAATTGGGGAATATATTATGACAAACATAAAGCACTTGCACCCAATTTATAATATCAACAGGACATTAGTGGAGAGAAACATGAATGAATTTGCTATTTATTTTTCAAATGTTCTGGTGATTCAGTTACATTTGAAAACGTTCCCTTTCAGAAGGGCTAGTATAAAAATAACATTAGAGACATCACTACCAAAATATTATTACCGTTGTGCAGATGTGACATATCAGCAGTAATGATAAAGATACAAAAGTAAGTAATTATCCAAATGAATATACAGTGAAGGTAACACGTTGCTGGTTCAGGTCAGCATCGCAACAGTGCCACTGAAGGGGGAGGTCAACTTCGTCTCATTGTTTATCTTATTGGTCCCAAAGTCTTTCAGTCACAATGTGAATGTGGATGTTATAAAATACAGCATTTTTAAGATCTGGGTCTGTAAATCCATTCTGTTTGGACGAACAATCACATGCAGATGTCAGTGCATACATGAGGGGTGACAGAGAAAGCCTGTTGAGCACCTTAGAGGTAAAACATGTGTATAAAACAGAACCAGGGGTGTATGGGAAACAAAAAATATAACAACAGTTTACCAACCTCCCAAAATCTACTTTTTGGATATTTTGGATTGCTCGTGTGTCCTCTGCCGGATCATCTTTGCATGAGCACAGAGAGTGGCCACCGTACTCAGACAGAAGTGGCAGTAAACAGATCCTGATCTGAACTCACTTAGTGGGTCAGACAGATGGGAGGCAGTTAGACGGGATGGACATCCAGCAGTAACTATTTATAATGTGCTAAATATTCAATAAAGAAACTTGCTAGTGGGCAGGATGTGCAGCAACAGTTTTCCTGATCTGGATGTATCTGCCCAGGAGTGCAGTCCTGGATAGCAGCAGATAAAAGAGCTTTCATTTAAAAATGATGCTCTGTTACATGGAGTCGAACTGATGATTCAATTTCAGCTTCAGGCGTTTAGAGTTCTCAGAGAATTCAGCTACACTTTATTTTATAAATTTAACAGAAATAGATTTTTTGTCAGCACATTTATTGTCAAGTATCACATTTCCATGTCAAGTGTCATATTGTTTCCCTTACATTTACAATCATTCTGTCAGTAACAGATTTGAATTCAGATGATTGTTATCCTTCAGAGATGTTGTAATTGATTAAATAAATATACAGCACACGACAGGAAGAGAAAAAGTTTGATTAGAAGTGAGGGTTAGCAGGTTACATATTACATATTACGTATACATTCAGTTTTCAAGTATTAAAAACACTTTGTGGAGGCAGATATTTCTGAGTCAGGGTCAGCAGTGAGACAGAAACTTAACAACTATGTTTTCTAAAGTGTAAGAAACTCAGTAACCATCTGCAGCCACACAAAGGTTGAATGCACCCATGAGAGAACTCCCCAAGATCTTTGATTGCAACAACAGTTTTTGGATGAGTGAGGATAAGGCAGGTCTTTAATGGTGTTCCCGAAAAACAGGAAAGAAAGTGAATCGAGAAAACACTCTTTCACAAGTGAGCTGAATTTTCCAAAGAGCTTGTATCAGTACAAACAACCCTCTTCTCTCATTACATCGAGAGAAATGTTTGCCATTTTCACTGCCTTGTGTTCTCCTCTCTCTCTCTCCTGACAAGGCAGACATTCAGTATCATCGTCTGAGATGCTTCAATGCTTAGCTCAATTTGTCTGGGAGCTTTTTCTGTTTGTTTTGTTGTTTTGTTTGTCTGTTCATTCTCTTTGGCATTTGAAAAACGGAAAAAAAAGTAAATTGTGGTTGGCTGAGGTTTTTTACAGAAAACGTGTTATGCAAGGTCTTTTCCATTTGATGTTAATCGTTTGCTGCACTTTTGCTAAAACATATGCTGTGAGTGTGGTACTGTTGTGATTTGCAAAATCAGATAACTAAGGAGCACATTACGAATTTTGGAGCTGTCAGTGCACGCTGTTTGAAGTGTTTTGGGGGAACTGAAGTTGATGGTTATACAAGCAGACATGCCTTACCATTTTTAAAAGACTAAAATGGATTGCTTATTTGGCTTTTGTTACACATTCTTGTATACAGAAAATAATACAAATGTAATAATAAACCTTTTATTAATAAAATACTTTATATTGTGGCTCTATCTATCGCCGATGTCCTTTGCAAACTATGTATCTTCATTGATCAGGAACCTACAAATAACAAGATATTATATTCTACAATTCCTTTAAAAAGTTTAAATTGGGGGAAGACAGATTGGATTTAGATATGAACTGATATGAAATGCTTTATCTTATATAGTTCAAAGTGTTACATGGATAACATTACTGTGAGCTTTAACTTCACACACTTTTTCCATCCAAATGTGTCTTTTGTAAAATGTAACAGATAACAGGGCATCAGTTTAAACAGTTATCAAATATGTGGAAAATGCATCCACCATGAACTCCTTAATAAATGGAATTACTGCCTCTTTCGTTCCTGTTATAAATACTACTTGTAAAGAAAGCTATATTACAAGTTATAAATGAATCAGGTATATATGCTTTGAAGAAGAAACTTATAGAATTTTGGATTATTATTATACCTTACTCTGTGTTAATCACTATTCCTATAATGCGTTCAATTGGTGATTCAATTGGAATTTGGCTTTCCATGACAAGTATCCTACAGTATCAATGTTTGACATGTCTTATTTTGACAATCTTCACAAAGCCACAACAGAAATAACAAAATGCATAAGAGATCGTGTTGAGATCTTATCACTTTGTAAAGGGTTCAATTATTTACATGACTGCTTAATCATATGGTCATTTTGATGCTTCATAGCGGGAAAAGCACAGGTGTAAATAATAACATTAAGGAAGGCTCTGTTCTACTTAATTGTCCCAGGAAGACATTACAGCGACATTACAGGACCCTGAGACTGAAGCAGCTAAATGAAATTCAGCCACGACTACTTTTATTATTTGCACATGTGCTTTTACTAATGTGACAAGACAAAAATGTTTAAATGAAAAAGCTCTATTGCTTAAGTTGGAGATGAAAAATCATTTTTATATCTGACATTTTCTTAACACTCAGTAACTTAAAGTGGACCTATTATGCTATATTAGAAAAATATATTGTAGGGCCATACCTATACAAAACATGTCTGTGAAGTGTTTTGCTTAAAATACCAAACAGATCACCCATTGTAGCCATGCCTCATACTGCTCATACCCCTCTTTTGCAGCCCTGTTAGAGAAACGCGGATTTTGGGTCCTTAGCTTGAAAAAAAGAAAGAAGAGGAGGCGGAGCTAATGCCTGATCAGAATTCTACCGGAGATAAAGTTAAATTCTGCTGTGATAAAACGCCATCCTGTTCTAAACCACATCAAGGATTATTTCTGAAACAGCATGGAGCTCAAATGCTTTTTCTCTTGCGGGTTTATCACAAGGTGAGTTCCTTTTTTTATTTCCTGCTTTTTAAACACATGTGCTCTTCAGTACAGGTTAGCTCTGAGTGTTAGCGAGGCTTGCTAATGTAAACAAAGACGAGATTACATCCAAAACACGTCAGGCATTGTTTCTGATAGCAACTTTCTGTGGGTCCGCCGCCGATTTGACGTCATATCAGCAGCAAATCTGTATCCGCTCGTTGTACACCTGTTTTTAAAAGATTTGGGTACAGAGGAAAAGAGAAAGGGTTTTATTTTCTGACGCTGCGTGAGTTCCCCGACACACCGGGGACACATATGTATGTATAAAAGACATCAAAAAGTGCAATTTGCATGATAGGTCCCCTTTAATATAGCTTTTTAAGTTGATCATGTTCTTTGGCAGATATTTGGCTTAAATCTATAACTTTATATTGGAATATTCTGTAGAAAGGAAATATAATTTCAGTTTACCTTTGAGGTTATTGAGAACTTCTGTGTGACAAATTCATTATATTTAAGATGAATGAGATCTAATGTATGAGCTCAAATAGAGATTATTCTAGGGAAGACACAACATTTCATCCTCATTCAGTCCTCTAAAGTTTAAACAGCAGATCATAGTGGAGGCCATGCTTAGTCAAATGTACTGTTGTAGCTCCTTTTGCACATTGTAGGTTACAAAATGTCTAATATTTGCAGCAGAATAAAGGGCCTGGATTCCAGTAGTGTTATGCAATGCAAATGCTAGTGCACAAAAAGTGAAGATATCTTCACCCTCAAGAAAAGATTAGTTGAAAGAGAAAGAGAGAAAGGTTGTGTTGAGCTCAGTTGGGATTAATGTGTTAACTTAACTGTTACCTGTAATATATCAGTTGTCAAACTTGGCTCGTCGTGTCTTTTTGTCAGGGGAGGCAGCAGAACGTCAGGCTGACAGAAGAGACAGAGAAAAAAAAAAGCTTACTGCGTTGCCACATTCAATTCATCTTAGTAGCTCCCCCAGACATCAATTTATTCATTTTCACATGACAACAGCAAGGGGGACAACACGAAACGGCTTCACATCTAAACTAGAATTATTCATTATAATCTCTCTTTCTTTCTGTACAATTATTTATGTGCTTCAATTATGGAAAAGCAGTGTGAAAGAGCCAAACTCCAGATGAAATACAAAAAAAGGAATGGATTTCAAAGACAGAGCTCAGTTTTTCTGCAGGATCCACTTGATAATTTTGGATTGCTCTTGGCAAAACCCCCCTGTGACTGTAGACAGAATTAATTCTGCTCCACTGTAGTGCGGGAGAAATACAGCATCATTCGATCTGCTGAAAAAATATTAATTAAAAGCATTTGTTCTGGGCCTTATCATTGCATTCTGAATGTGTTACTTTCATGCAACCGGACAGTTTCATATTTCTATTAATTTCAGTGATCAGTATTTTATGTTGCTGTTTCAGCAAATGGCTGCTGAAGCATGCAGGCTATAATGTCAGCAATAAACGGTAGCTTGTCAATTCTTCGACACTTAAATATCTTTACATTTTTCAACTCATATTCGGTATAGCTGATGATTTACGGGGCAGTCTATATACTTTCCTCCAGTTTAAATACACACATTAACAGTTGAGCGTCTTATGTCAAACAAGAGATTGGTGCACTTTTAGTTCTTACTGCTTGGTGATGAGTGTCTCTGTGTTTCGCTGCCATGTAGGGCAGTACTTCTAGCCCTGGGAATAGTTAAATAATAACTGAGTCATTTGAAAAAAAAGAACACTCCATATATCATAGAAATGTAGTTCAATGAGAGCCAGGTGATTAGTGGGAGCGCTTTTTTCCTGATTTAATTTTATAATGAAACTTCAACTTAGTTATCAAAACATAAATGATATAAGTGGATTTCATGTTTTCCAACAGATTCATAGTCATGATTATTTTTACACAATTGTGAGGGGGAATTCAAATGTGCAGAAATATACATATTCTAACCATTTCATGACAATGTGAGTGAAAGAATTCACAGGTGTTGCCAGATAACAATTGGCAGCTTAGAATAAAGACTGAATGTCTGGGGAAGCAGGGGGACGTGCTGTAGTCTTGTTATCACCTTTGAGGTTGCCGTGCATTACACATATTAATTAGTGAGAGTTTATCGTGCAGGTTGGCAGGTGTACTGTTCACGGTGTTTATTCCAAGCTAACTTGCTAACTGTAGCCTCACACTTTCTCTACATCATGAGAATGGTAGCCTTTCAATCCTTTCGTCCAACTCCCAGCTGGAATGTACTTATACACTTTGAATTGTATTAATAGACTACCAGTTATATTTTTTCTGTAAGGTGAGAAAAGCAGTCGTCTAGGATATAATGTTGTTTTCTCTTAACAAATATTTGTATTGCGCCTACATAATTAGTAATGTCATGATGTCTGAGCCAAAGGACATTTCCTTGCGGCATAAGACTCGGACCCAACAAGAACACATATCATTTATGGCAACATAAATAAAATAGTAGAGTACAATATAGCTTTTAGAAATGATTCTTAGCTTGAACAGACTTACAGACCTGACAATGAGACCAAGGTCTTTTAATTGTCCTTCACAACTCATAAAACTCATTGTTGCCTCTGAAAGTAGGGTGGTGCCTGTAAATATTAAGGTCTGAGGACAATGTTAATAGATTCTCTGATGACACATTTCATCTACGCACTGATAGTAATTGCTTTTTACATGACAAGTAATAGTGTGAGGGCTTTAGAGACGCTGATAAATCCCCTGAAAATAGAGACCTATGAAATTAAACCTTGGTTTTCAATTTTCCCTCCCACAAGAGTTGAGCAATTAAATGGATTTAACCCAGTATCGTATAATAAGGCATAAATAAGTTTCAGGGTGAATCTCAAGTATCACATTTTCATTAAAAAGTTGGTCTATAGAACAAATGGTACTTTATGTTTAACAAAAAGAGATGCCTATGTTTTCTCAATCCCCTCTATTTGTGTGTATGCTCTGTCTCAAATCCAGCACTTCAGTTTCATATCTTTCCACCGCTTTTGTAAGAGGATGAAAAGTGTTCGCGAATATATATATATATATCCTTATAGCTACATCTGCTCTCTTGTCAATGCCTTCCCCCTTTGCATTCATTTTACTTTCGCAAATAGTTTTTTCTTGTTTCATACATTAGAAGTTTTCAAATGATTCTCCCTCTATCTCTCTCAATCTCTCGCCCTCTTTCACTGTCTCTCTCTGCTGTCTGTCTCTCCCTGGATTTAGGATAAAGACTGAATTACACAGCAGCACAGTCCTGGATAGCAGAGACAGAGATTACCCTGCCTGATCTTTCTACAGACAAGAAACAGTTCAGTGGAAACCCTCCCGAGGGCCCTGCCACCTCAGTACTGACAGACTGTGTATTAGCACGTATCAGGGAAGAGAAAAGGAAGCGGTTTTATCCCTTCTGACCCACCACTTGACTTGAGTAAGAGAGGAATCTGCAGTGGATATTAGGCCTGTCACCACAATGATCTGCACTCTGGAAAAAAAAGAGGTTTTGCATACTGCCAGTGTCAGAGGCACACAGCTCCGGTGCACCTTTTCTTTTACCTGACAAGAAGAAACTAAAAAGGCGTAACTCCCAGAGCTACCAAGAATAATCCGCTCTGAAAATATAGCTTCTGCAGTCAACGTTCAGCCTTTTCTTGGATATGTTCATTAATACACA